AAAGGATGCCTGTGCATATAATAGAAACTTAGTAGACTTGTATAACTATGTAATTTCTTGTAAACCAGATGATTTCGAGGAAACAGAAACCTAGTAGAAACTCCATTTCACATTCACTGTAAAATGCTATAAAACTTACTTGCTGACTAAAGGAGGGTGGCAGTTCCTTTTTCAGCTCAGCTGAAGGTTGTCACCTCCGCCAATAATAAAAACTCCTGAAAACTGATACTGTGGTCTACTGCCTCCTTGCTATAAAAGACTAGTTGAAATCCACAACACAACAAAGGCAATTCATGCAATTCATGGTCCATGCAATTCATGGTCAAGGATCAAATTGAGTGATGCAGCAACCCCCTGATCCAGTCTTGAAAAGAGCAGAAAGAGGGTCAGAGGAGGCTCGCCAAGGCTCATAAAACCTCTAGACCTGACCTCCACAAGAAACCTGCCTCAGCAGACACACACACCAGGTGGCTGAATCCTGGTTTCTGTCCAGGGAGGCCATCAAAGGTGTTCCCTCACCCACAACAGCCATGGCTTGGTGGTCTTGAGATGCAAATTATTTTGCTTTGATTACTGTCAAGTGCTGTATCTTGAATTTGGAACATATCCAATGTTCATATCATTGATTTCAAAGTTGTCTTTGGTGTACTGTAATTTCCATATTCTTCATCTGAGATTCAGTTTTTGTGAATTTTGTTAAAGGTATCAGATCTAAGTTAGTATTTGGGTGGACTCCCATTTGTGAGAGAAAGGCAGGATAAAAGTAAATAAATAAATAGTAAGTTGAAAGGCCAGGCACTCTCCATCTCTGATGTAAAGAAGTACAGCAATAACCTTAAGACACTTGAAAGATTTGCAACAGTTGCAAGTGCTGAAGGATATTATCATTCTTACAAAGGAAGAAACAGCTTTCTGTAACAACATTTCTTTGCAGTTGTGATGCTTGAAGACACTTAGCCCCAAACTCTCCACGGATACTAATATTTATATTATTGAGCATCCTACAAAGGACTAATGTATTGTACATGACCCTTGTGTTGCCTAAACAATACAGTATGCAACACACGTATAACAAGTACTTGCAGCCATTTACAACATTCCTTTTTTAAAATGCTGTTTTATATATGGGATCTGATATTGGAGTGTGTAGTACAATTGTTATTTCTTTCTGTATGTAAAAGGATTCAACGTGTATGTGTGTGTGTGTGCTTGAGTGTGTATGATTTGGCGGACAGGACCATGGCTAATTTTACAGTTTAAGTAAGAAATGTAACCATGCAAATCACTACTATATGTACTATATGTCTTTTTTGCATATAGCATATCAATACAGAAGGAGATGAGGGACAGTATGTTGAGGAAAGCCACATGCATAGACACCTTCCACTTTTTGGCTGGATAGATTGAGACAAGTGTAAAGTCCACTCTGCTGACAGCTAGAGCAGTGTAACTAAAGCAGCTAGAAACAGCAGTGGCTGTGAAAAAAAAATGTACCCACATATTTGGCATGGCACATATTGGACAGCATCATGTGACTGACTACCATATGCATACATTCCTTTTTGACGAGGAAACAAAAGAGCAAATCTCTTGCCCTTCTGATCTGTTCAAAAAACCTCCTGGACACATAAAGCATTTACTGCCTCTGACTGGCCTGCCAGCATCCTCTTGCCTGTCTTAACCAAGCCATTGCTCAGGGCCTGTTACAAAGCTCTGTGATCAAAGGTTAATTTTGTGGACTTCTGCATACACTGTAGAGAAAGTGTTTGAAGTTCAACAATGCTTAGCCTTGAAGATCAAGAATGCCTCGCAGCACGCAGCACAGTAGTAAATGTGGTTATGTAGTTTGAGGGACCCCAAAGTGTCCTCCCTTCTTGTCTGCCAAACCTCTCTGTGATGTAAACTAATACGCTTAGGTAGGGGTCCTCAAACTAAGGCCCAGGGGCCAGATACGGCCCTCCAAGCTCAGGGTCAACCTAAGTCTGAAACAACTTCAAAGCACACAATACCACCAACAACAACCTTATCTTATCAGCCAAAAGCAGGCCCACACTTCCCATTGAAATACTAAGTTTATATTTGTTAAAATTGTTCATCATTTTAATTATTGTATTGTTTTAAAGTGTTTTTTGCACTACAAATAAGATATGTGCAGTGTGCATAGACATCCAAATTATGTTTTGTTTTTTCCCCAAATTATAATCCTGCCCTGCAACACTTTGAGGGACTGTGACCTGGCCCTCTGTTTAAAAGGTTTGAGGACCTCTGCTCTTAGGGATGGTTCTCCACTTCTCTTTCCCACTAGTTTTCCCTCAGCCTTTCCCTAAAATGGAGCTAGTTTAAATTAGCACTCTGCAATAACTTTACTATCTTAGAAAGGAGTTTTTTCCTCAAAGTTTGTTTCTCTGAGCCATTAGTGTTGTTGCTCTTTAATCTGGATCTCGAATCACAGCATGCACTCTCTATCAGAAGGCACAACATTCTCCTTTGGCACTTTATAATAATAATAATAATAATAATAATAATAATAATAATAACAACAACACGAGTGATTTCAATTGAACTGTCAGCTGCCATTAAGCTGTTGTCTTCTCCCTATATACAGATGGGTGATTTTGAAGAGGTGTGAATAGAGGCCAAAAGGAAGAAATATGCCAAAAGGAAGAAATATGCCAAGAAGCAAATCATTATTGTGACTGCCTTTCACCTGGAAACCTATGTTCTCAGTGTGAAAGACCATGTGGACCAAGAATAGGTCTTTACAGTCATTTAAGATATATCAACAAGAATCTACCTCTGGAAGACAATCATATGCAGTCACAAGTTATAGCTTATGGCAATTCCTAATGTAAATTAGGAATTGTAGCGAGGGATTGGGAATGCAGCAAAGGATTTCTTTAAAGTAGGAGTGGGAATCATGTAGCCCTCCAAATGTGGTTGGACTGCAACTCCCATTATTGGCTATGGCTTCTTGGAGTTTTCTTGTTCCAACATTTCATCTTTGGTCTAAGTGTATAAAATCCTCCCTAACAGAATCTCTGCTACTTTTATTCACTGAACAATGATGATAAATCATTTAAGGTAGACATGGGCAACATTTTGGAAACTTCCAGCCAATTTTGAGCAAGACTGGATCTAGCTTCTAGCTTCAAAACCTGTGCTATTGTAACAAATCATTCCTTTAAACAAATACCTTCTACTTGTGTAAATGTGATGTGATATGTGTGTGTGTGTGTCTGCATTAGATTTGAGCAAATACATGGGTATGTAACCAGAAGATCATGTGCAAAATAGTAGAATGGTTACATTCTCAAATGAACAACAGGATTTTATACCATCATCTTATTTTAGATGCTTTGGTGTTGAGGATAAAGCAACAAATTATCTAGTGCCATCATGGGGTGGTATCCATAAGATGTCCACTTGGGAAAATACTCAAAACTGACTCCTTGGCAAAACCAAGTATGCACCTTCGTATGCACCTTCAAGTTGTTTGTTGACTTATAGTGATCCCCACAAATTTTCTATTCTCAGGCAAGGAATACTCAGAAGGAGTTTTGATAGTCCCTTCCTCCAAAATGTTGCCAACAGATCCTAGCATTCATTAGCAACCACCAATCCAAGTAGCAACCACAACTAAGCACCAACCCAGTTCAAAGCAGATATTGTGAGATTTTCTGCCTTGATTTCTGGATTATATGGCTGTGTGGAAGGACCCTGAGTTACAATCTCTCTTTCTAATACATGTCTCAAGTCTCTGAAATGAAAATGTTATATTTGTGTTTCTTTCATTGTATGTGAGTTACTGTGGTTACGGTGTTTGATTGGGACTAGGAAAACACAGGTTGAAGTCACTCTTCAGCCATGAAATTCATGGGTGACCTTGGGTTAGTCACATACCTTTTCTCAGCCTGACTTAACTCTCATGGTTGTTGTGAACATAAAATGAAGGAGCAGAAGTTCATATATAATGGTTTGGAATTACTGGGAAACATGATATAGTGTAAATATAGGAACTGATTATATGCCTTCCTATAGAATATTGTTTTTGAAGTGCTTAGCATATATGTATGTATGTATGTATGTATGTATGTATGTATGTATGAGCAAATATTTCTGTATCTAGGGCCCCTTCCACACATCTGAATAAAATCCCACATTTTCTGCTTTGAATTGGAATATGGCAGTATGGACTCGGATAATCCAGTTCAAAGCAGATATTGTGGGATTTTCTGCCTTGATCTTCTGGGATATAGGGCTATGTAGAAGGGCCCTAGGAGAGGGGACTGTATTTCTGGGGAAATTAAATTGTCAGTTCATGAGCTAAAGGAAGCAAATATTCGGTTTTTCTTAAATAGACACAATTAGTCATGCCAATATATCCCAATCCTAAAAACATCCAAATATTCTACTTCCCTATGAAAACAAAGGGCCCTTCTACACAGAATATCCCAGAATATCAAGACAGAAAATCCCACAATATCTGCTTTGAACTGGGTTATCTGAGGACACACTCAGATAATCTGGGATTTTCTGCCTTGATGCTCTGGGATATAGGGCTGAGCGGAAAGGCCCAAGGATAGAGTAAAAGAGTCAAGTAACTGCCCCAGACATTTAGAAATCTTTAGTAGTCCTGATGGGTAGTCAAAATTTGGAAGTATGTGTGTGTGTGTGTGCATACGCACATTTTACTTTCAGTTCATTTTCACTCCTAGATCCAGTCCTTATGTGTTATATGAACTGTGAATTGAGGAGCTAAAACTGGAGCAACTTCCTGGATTATATTTTATCTCTTCTCATGTCCTCGGTGCCGAAAGAGTAATTCAAGAGCAATTTCCCACTAAATTGCTAGAGCTTCATGCATATATTTAAGAAACATATATGCTGAGCAACACACAGAGAGAAGAGATGTCCACCTCCCTTTTAAATACACATAACCCCTCCTCCTCCACATAAATCCCCTGTTCATGAAACATTTGGACTTTCCTTACACACTGCGTGGTGCATAGCTCGCCTGCCTGTCAATGTAAGGAGATGATTTGCACACATCCCAGCTGAATCCAGCAACTGCAGACACTTGCCTCTGGGCAACTGCAGGCTCTGAGTGTTTCCTCTCTCTTCTAAAACTGCTGCATGTTTCTTGCCATTGTGAAATCCTTCATGCAAAGATAGTTGCAGAACTTTTGCTTGGTACTGGGTTGAAATCTCCCCCCAGTCTCCCTCTCTCTTGTCTTCTGCATGATTTTTTGCTGTGTTTTATAGACTACTATTGACTCTGAATGGAGAGGCTCCAGGAAAGCCTGAAAGGCTGAATTCAAACCCAAAGCACAGCCAAGTATGTCTGCAGCTGAAGCAGAGGATGGTCTCCTCTCCTGTAGGAACTGTTCATTGAATATGGAACTGAATGGAACTCAGGAACATTTGGGGAAGCCCACGGCTGACTATGACGAGGAGGAATTCTTGCGGTACCTCTGGAGGGAATACTTGCACCCCAAGGAATATGAATGGGTTCTCATTGCTGGATATATTATTGTATTTCTTGTGGCTCTTGTAGGGAACACCCTTGGTAAGTAGCACTTTGGATAGTTATCCCGGTTAAATATTTCAATCCTTTTGTGTTGCTGTGCAACATTAAGCACCCAACAAACAGTTTTAAAGGTATGATTTCTTTTTGTTATATAATTTTAGAAAATGCTTGTGTCTACTAAGTCATCAAGATCAATATGATCTCATTTGATTCTGTTTAATTGGAGGGTCTGGATAAGTGGAATACTTGCTTGCTCTTTCCTGCCTGGCTAGCAACCCATTGTAATGTGAGTGTCTGAGGCAGTAATGGAAAAGCATGCCTAATAAACTCATTTTAAAATTTTGTCATAAACCAATTTAAGTGCAGCTGTTAAATGGAGGATGAAATTGTACACCTTTTTACCTGAGAGTAAGCTCCATTGCCATCAGTGGGATTCATTTCAGAGTAGACCATGCATACAATGATGCTGCATGTGTCCTCAGGCATAGAGTATTTAAAAATTAATTTACAAACATCCAACCTTGAGGGACTAGGCATTTAACTGTGCAATTTCATCTACCAAAAAGGCAATTTGTTTGTAGTAACTATCCATTAAGCACAAGTGCTGAAACCTTCCTACTTCATTCATATTATTGGAAGTCTTCTGGCAGGCGTTTGACTCTCGTAGCTCCATTCATGTCAGCCGATTTGAGGATGGCTGTATATCGCTCTCTGCCACTTCATTCATCTTGCCAGAATTCTGAATGAAATTCTGAATGATGCTGAACTTTAGGCTTCAGTAGGCTACTTTTGCCACATCTCATTACTGGTTAATCACATATCCCCAAGTCTTGATGTTCTCATTAATCTCTGCCAAGTTGGGTAAACTGTACAGTTCTCTGAAGCTATTGACCCCAATGTGAATGAAATTATAAAGTGCTCTGGTTCAAGTACCTCTATGTTTCTTGTGAATAGCTAATGGTTTAGAATGATCAGGAAAAATATAATCCAATCCCATCCTTCACATATTTTCAGTATCAAGTGATATGTAATGTAATCACCGAAATCACACACACACTGTGTATATATATATATATATATATATATATATATATATATATATATATATATATAAAACAGGTACACATTATATATTATTAATCACTCTAGTCTCTTTGACAGCTCTCCCCCAATAATATTGTAATTTTTGCATTTTTTTTCATGTCAATTTGTCCACTCCCACTACATCCCTGCCTTTTTCAGTTTCTACTTCCTTTACCTTGTCTGAACCATATCAGACAAGGTGTGTGTGCGTATATGATATACCTATACCTATATATATTTAATTCTGTCTATCTATTGAATCTAGCCAGTTCTATCTGCCTATCTGTCTGTCTGTCTATCTAGCTATCTAGCTATCTGTACAGAATTGCTAGATTCAATTTCTTCTGTTTGAGAACTGAGCAGGGTTTGCAATCTTTCCATGCAAAAACAAAACAAAACAAAAACCACCACTTCTGTTTATTCTACACTTTTTGTATTTCAGCAGTATAACTTAGTGCAGAGAGGGATCTTCTCTTGATGCTGTTGTTAAACAACTGGGAGTCTCAAATGCATACCCAGAGATTTACTAGTAGACACAAATCTACTTTTTGAGCAATGCTGAAAACATAAGTTATCTCAAAGAAAAGTGGTGCAATTTGCCCTGTTCCTTCTCAGCAGAGAGCAATGGAAAATGGAGAATATAAAATGGAAAATTCTTTACCTTGTCTATATGGTTCAGACAAGGTAAAGAAAGCAGAAACTGAAAAAGACAGGGATATTGTAAGAGTGGCCAAATCAACAGGAAAAAAAAATGCAAAAATTACAATATTATTGGGGCAGGGGGAGAGCTGTCAAAGAGACTAGAGTGATTAATAATATACATACAACATGTAATTGTTTTCAAATTTTATATTTCAATTTTAATGTATTCACATTGTTATTAATTAAGGTATTTCTTCAATTCTAAGATGTACTTTTTCCCAACAGGAAAATCTCTAAAAATGGGGTGAATCTTAGAATCGCAGGTGTATCTTACATATTTTGTTGTTGTTGATGATACTAAAATTACGGTGCATCTTACAATCAGTGATGTCTTACAATTGAAGAAATAAGGTAGCATTGTTATATATACATTGCTGACTGACTTCAGTCCCTATGCTGAGAGAAAGGTGGGATATAATTAAAGTAAATAAATACATTTAAGGGCAAAAATGTAAATGCTGAAAATGATCCCAGATTTGAAGTTCAGGAAACAATGGGAGAGAGATGGTTTCAGAGCAGGAAATATCAAATAAATTCTACGTGATTATTTGGGAGGCGGATTGACCTATACATGAAGTAAGGGAGGGCATTTTACAAATGACAAACAAACTGGGGTGTTGAGTATTCCTGTTCATGTGCTTTTGTGTGATAGCTTCTTGAGACTATCACTCCCAGTATCCCTGGTGCCACTAGTGAAAGGATTTATTTACTTCTATGTTTGTTTGTGATATTTATATTCTACCTTTCCTCCAATGAGCCTGAAGTGGTGAACATGCATGTCTTCCTAGCCATACCAACACAATGAGGTAGATCAGGTGGCAGGGTAAAAGTTACTCTGTGTATTTCTTGTTTCAGTAGAGTATTGAACCTGGACCTTCCAAGTTCCATTCCAATATATTATCCATTACTGTGAGTTTCTGGTATCCACAGGAATTAGGTTACAGGACATCACATGGATACCAAAATCTATGGATGGTCATGTTTCTATTGTGTACAATGGCACAGTAAACTGAATCCCTTATACTAACTGGAAAAATATGATTTGCTTTCTGGGTTTAAAAAACATATATTTTCAAGCTGTGGATGATTGAATCAATAGATATAGAATCTATGGATATGAGGTGCTGATTGTACTTGTATTTGTTTATACTGCGAAGAGGCTAATTCTAACAGCCAGTGATCACAACTTGCAAGTCTGGTGAGATCAGATTCAGTGGTTGGACAGATCCTTTCAAGGAATCAAAATTATTGTATGAAATCAGAGTCACTTTCCTATTGTTTACCATCCCCCTATCCAGTGCATCCAGTATTCTGGGGCATGCTACATTTCTATATGGAGGCTATTTTAAATACCAGGAATCATACCCATGAATGACTCTCCTTTAAGAACGTTTTTTAATGTTCTTCCAGAGCCATCTAAGCAGATGCAAGTACCACATTCAAAACAGTGACTTTTATGCTTATTTTAGTCCATGGACTCTGAACTAAAACATATTACTTGGTGAGTTCAGATACATTCATGCATATGCTAGCAATCCTGATTTGGAATGTTGTGTGGTTTTTGGGCTGTATGGCTGTGTTCTAGCAACACTTTCTCCTGACATTTTGCCTGCATTTTTGGCTGGCATCTTCAAAGGATCTGATGGTGGTAAAAGCAAGTGGAGTATATACCTGTGGAATGTCCAGAGTGAGATTTGTTAACTCAGATTATTTTTTGAATGTAGACTTACACCTTTAATTGTGATGTGGGCACTGGATTAAAATAGGCAAAAATTGTCACTGGTTAGAATCCTTGGAGTTCTGTTGGCTCCAAAATTCCAAAATGACATAGACAACTGCAGCACCTAAAGCAGTGGTTCTCAACCTGGGGTCCCCAGATGTTTTTGGCCTTCAATTCCCAGAAATCCTAACAGCTGGTAAACTGTTGAGTAGTTTTTCCAGTCAAAAAAGGGGGTGCATGGGCTAGGAAGGGAAAAGCATGGACTTGGAGGAATAGCCTTGAAGAATACTATAGTATGTAGTATGGTAATGTAGATGATATGGTAAGCAGAAAGTGTGATTTGTGTTCATAGAGTATTATTAGAGAGACTGTAAGAAAAAGGAGCAATGCCAGCATGTTCCACCATTCTATGAGAACAGGATTGCAGTGCTTAAATGTGATATTAGACCATAGTGCGATAATCTCCTTAGAGACTACAATACTTATAAAGACCAGCAGGAAGTGGATGTAGTTACTATAAATCAGACAGGAATCAGCAGGCAAAGTCGGTACAGTGTGAAGCTCAGTGAACCCCTGAAGCCATGGCACTATCTCCTGGATAGAGGAAAGCACACTGCTTTCCCGTTGTTGATGGTTTCATTTTGATTACAAGATGGTAGCATGGTGTCCTCTACACAAACAGTGACCATCCAAATGATGCTGCTCTTGGATTATAGAGTGAATGAATGAATGAATGAATGAATTCACCAGAGATCAGCACTAGTCCAATCAAAGTTGCTGGTTTCTAGTTCAGTATATCATTCAAGGAGCTTAGCTAGTACATGGCTTCTGGGATGTGATTTAATGAAAATAATAACAACAACATCAACAACAACAATCCTGAGTTGAAAGCAGATTTATTTAATATTGAAAAGTAGAGTTGTGTGTGGAACCGTTTTCCTTCATTTCATCAATTCTTTCAGTACTTTCATTATTTTTGTTTCCTTCGGGAGCACGTGACGGGAAGGTCCCTCCCAGTACAGAAATCAGCTCAACCTGAAAGCAAGTCAATCCTGGCCCCTTGTCTGCTTTTTGTGAGCACATAGCAATCCATACCTCCTTACCTTGGAAAGAGAGAGAGTGTGTGTGGCATGCAGACCCAGAAAGCATGTGCACCTGCCTGCAGCCAAGTGCCTCCTCTAGAGTAAAAATGAGAACTTGCCTAGGAAAGGATGTGTGCATGTGAGGTATGCAGCAAGCCCAGAAAGCGCACATGCCTGCCTACAGCTGAGCACCTCTCCTCTAGAGTAAAACAGCTCCAATGCCTTAAATGATGGAAAAGGGAGCCTGGGAAGCCCCCCCCCCCATAATGGGGCAATATAAAATGGATTTTTGGGCACCCCAGAGCAAAAACAGATGTCTGCCATCTCGATTTTGAGAGGCTCCCAAAAAATGGATTGGTCTCCTCACCAAAAGCTGGGACATGAAACGGGTCAAGGTTTACCCCGAAAGCACAATCCTATTGAAGAGTTATATTACCTTGCATCAAAGACCA